GGCCTCCATTGTGCCCTGAAATGTAATATACACGACGCTGATTAAGCCCTCGGCGGCCCCCAGCAGCCCCCGGCCCGCCCGCCGACCAACCTATGGAAGCCGTACCACTATTCGCAGTAGCAGCGGGGCCGGCGGGCCGGCGGAGCAGGGCGCTGGCTAGGCTGGCTATTCGCAGCTGCACAGTGTGCCTTATTGGAGCACTGCACACGGCTCGCCTCGCCGTGCCACGCCACGCCACGCCCCAACGTACCAATTACGGCTCATCCTCGCGAGTAACCAGGGCAGCGCAGGGCAGCCCGGGGCAACGGACAGCGCGGCGGGACGAGGCGTCAGCCCTTTTTAATAAAGCGTGCGCGCCGTCCTTTTTACGGCGGCCGTTTTCGGCGCCGATATTGCAGTCATAATGCGAAGGCGGTTGATTAACGCCGTGATTGGGCGTGACAACGCGTGAGCCGCGTTAATTTCGCCGTCACTCCGCGCTCGGAGAGTGGAGAGGGCAAATCCCTGACAGCGGCAGTGCGGCGTGCGGTCTCAGCCCGCCGGCCCCCGGCCCGCCGGCCCGCCGCCGGCCCGCCCCATGCAAACACAGCCGGACTCGCCCGTTTAACTGCTGTCCTTTCCTCCACTCCGATACGAGTCGATGACCCATCCCCCACCGAGCTGACTCCCAATGATCGCTTCGTCACTCCTTTCCGTTGCACCCCCTACGCAACGCCCTGGCCGCCCCACGTAGCGACGAAAGGAACCTGCACGGCGAAAACGGTTCGTGGTTTTCCATGGAACTCCCAATGTTTTTAGTACCGGTTAACTAGGAAATCCAGCAGCCGTGTTTGGCGTGTTCAGAATCAGTCTCCAGCCTCGCGCTCCTCCGCGATGAGTCCTTAGTCAGCCAAGAGCATTTCTCCAGCTCAAGAGCATCTTGACGAGTAAAGAGCATTTCGGCGTGTAAAGAGCATCATTGACCCAGGCCAAGAGACTTTCTCCAGCCCAGGAGCATTCGTCGTGCGAAGAGCACTTCCCCAGACCAAAAGCATTTCATCATGCAAAAGAGCAGGTTGCAAATTGTCAAAGATTGATTAAATCTCTGAAAGTAGCCGTTTTTGCTGACTTAGGCAGGCCATTGCGTCCAATTCAGCTGAGGATGCACCCTGGAATTTTTAAGATCGTCACAGGCACCGTCATAGGCACCGTCACGGGCACCGTCACAGGCACCGTCGCAGGCATCGTCACAGGCACCGTCACAGGCACCGTCACAGGCGCCGCCACAGGCACCGTCACAGGCGCCGTCGCAGGCACCGTCGCAGGGGCCCCACGACTGCGTTGCGCTAACGTATTTGCCAAACGAAAATACGCGTCCCTTCCGCCCGGCCTCCCCGTCAGCTGTATTTATGTTGCGTCCATACATTCCTCTGCCTCCGTTCGGCCCTCCCCGCGAAGCGAGTTCTTTGTCCTCGTCCCTGCCGCCGTGTCGGCCCGGCCAAGGGCCCGGCGCCCGCGACGCCAGTAAGTCTGCCGATCTGGTTCGACATAAAGACGCGCATCCGGCTGGAGATAACAACCCGCGCCGTCGGCCCGTCGGCCAATTTGTCACTCTATCCAAGCAAATTTTTGCCGGCGGGGAGGGTCCGGCCTCCCCTCGGTGGCGGGCCTACGGTGGGCCTACGGTGGGCCTACGGTGGGCCCACGGCGGGCGAGGGGGAAGGCCGCCGCGCCTTCTCTGGGCCCCGCTGAGCCCCTCGTCATGGCGAGGGGTAGCTTGACGAGCACCGCGACAGCGTCCCCCTTTCCTGCATGCTGCCCTCCAGGACTGCCAGCCTCGCCCGAAGCCTCGCCCCTTGATAGGCTCATACACATTGCAAGCGTGAAATCCACCGCGCGGCCTTTCAATGCGTGGACCGGCCTGTGCTGGGCCGGTCCCTCGGCCGGGCCCGGGACGCTCAAAGGCGGCTATAACAAGGGCTTTTCACGGCGCGCTTCGCCCCGCGCATCCTTGTATGCCAAAGAGAGGAATGGCGATGCAGTCACTTTCCATGCTACCCTCTAAGAGCTTTTCATTCCCAATATACAGAGCGAAGCATTACGGCTGCGCACGAGGCTGCGCAGCAAAGCAAAAGACCTGTGCTGAAGCAGGCTGAAGGGTTCTCAGCGAATTGCAACCAATTTCTTCGTATCACTGAGAGGCGGGTTCGTATTTTGACGGCGCAGCAGTTCTCAGACGGAATAATGGGGGTACGCGGGAAGGTGACTGGCCGGGGCGAGGCAGGCTGGGCCCTGGGCTGGGCGGCCAAGGCGGCCCACTACTATAGAAAGCCGATATCGGAACGGTTTATACGCTCAAACGGCGTCTTGTATCCTCCTCGGGAGGGGGGGGGGGGCGGCAGCGCAAAGTGGGTGCTGAGCGTGCGACGTGATTTTATGGCCGGGCTAATGTGAGAAAATAATGCCGACTTTATCGGGGGAAGTTTGTAGCGCAGCCTATCGCCTACCGCCCTGACGAACAAGGCCCGAGGCACTAGCCTGGAAGGTGATCAGGGCGGCCGTCAAATGGGGCCGCTTCCTGCGAGGAACCGCCTTGTTCTCCGTGCCATCAGTGCCTCGCAGCCCCGCAGCCTCGCAGCCTCGCATGAGAGTGTGTGTTTTTGTGCGGGGCAGTGGGAAGGCTCACTAAAACTCGCCGTATGGTGTCATAAATGTTCCTCTGACGGCCTTTCGGCTGACCTGGTTTCAACATACTGCCCACGTTTCATTTGGCAGGGAAACCGTCGCGGAGAAAAACTAGCAGAGAAAAGAGAGACAGGCAGCCGTGTCTAAAACGGCCGAGTTGGTCAAAAAGAGACACCCGACACCACTCAGTGACTACTCAGAGTGTGATCCTCGGAGTACAGGACTCGAACCCAACGAAGGACCCTGCCAACGGATCCCTCGTTAGGAGAGCAATCCATTGGTGGGTGCACGCGTTCGGTTCGCGTCCCAATCAGCGACTCAGGAACTCAGAACCCGTCCGGGAATTTGACCGCGGCCACCCAAGCTGCCACCCGCGCTGCCACCACCGGTCTTCTGGCCCACTGAGCCAATGCCTTGGCCGCAGCAAAACGAACGGCAAGCCGCGTGCTAATGCTCTTGTCAGCAACGCGCCGCTCTGTTGACTCGAGAGCGCGGCAGCGCGGCAGCCGTGAGTGATGGAGAGGTTGGCGTCCCCGACGGCCCCGCGGCGCCCTGCGGCCTCCTCGGCCCCGACGTTCCCGATGACACACGGAGCGAGGAGACGCCTTTGTCGATGTGGCCAAGACGGAAATGACGTTGAAACAAATTTGTTCGGCCGCTCGACCTCTTTTTTCCGGGGATGCGCCACCCGTTCCCGTGACATTTTCTTTGCAGCTCTGGCACAAGATTATTCTTTGCCCGTTTTCCCGCGCTGGAAAATGTGAAAAAGTGGCGCCAAAAAGAGAGTGCGGGGGGAGGGGGCCTCGGGCGAGTCGCGTCTTTAAAGCACTGGACGGCCATTTGGAGCGATTAGGAATGGCAAACGGCACAGTGTCATAAACCCCATGATGACGATAGCGGGGATGAGCGAGCAGGAGAGAGAGAGAGAGAGAGAGAGAGAGAGAGAGAGAGAGAGAGAGAGAGAGAGAGAGAGAGAGAGAGAGGAGGGGGGGGGGTTGAGGGGGAGGGGGCGGCAGGCCATCTCACTTGGCCTAACGTCCGATCGATCCGCTAAAGTTGTGAGATGAGCAGTGAGGGGGATCGCGGCGGATAGAGGAATAAAGGAGGACGGGGAAGGAGGAAGACGACGAGGAGGACGGCGAGGACGGCGAGGACGACGAGGACGACGCGGAGGTCGCGAATCATCATCATCATCCCCGAATTTGGGGAGGCGAGTCTTATATATTTCCGGACAAAACCGAGGAGCTGGCAGGACCCGCGCGATTGGCTAATCCCGAGGGGTTGCCGAATGCTAAGCCGCGCAAGCTTCGGGCTTCGGCGCCGAGGACGCCGAGGACGGCGGTGAAGGGGGCGACGTAGATGAGGGTATCGGCGCCGCCACCGGCCGTCGCGCGGGGCTCGGAGTGTGTCCTAAAACTTGGCGGGGCGGAGCGAGGCGGCGGCGGCAGTGTTTTCATCCAGGCGCTGCGTCAATCTTTGTGTCCACGCTGTTCGCGCCGTCCGCGCCGGTCTGTGACCTGTTCCTCTTGTCTGAGGTGGGGCCTCCTTTACGGGGGCTGGCGCCGTGACCACTCACCGCGAGGCGGCCCTGGCGGAGCCCTGGCCGAGCCCTAGCGGAGCGGAGCGCCGCTCCAAGGACGCGCCAGATAGCAGTGTTTTATGGCCTTGTTTTAGGGAATCGTCCTGCGCAGCGCCCGACTCGGCGGCCGCACTTCGCCGGCAATGGCAGCCCAAACAAGGTGCGCCATGACGCGCTCGTCAAGCCCAAGTACCTAGGGCGCGGTCTTGGTGGCGGTCGTGGTGGCGGTCTCGGTGGCAGTCGTTGTGGTGGTGCGGTCGTGGAGGTGGTCGTGGTGGCGGTCTTGGTGGCGGTCGTGGTGGAGGTCGAGGTGGCAGTCGTTGTGGTGGTGCGGTCGTGGAGGTGGTCGTGGTGGCGGTCTTGGTGGCGGTCGTGGTGGAGGTCGAGGTGGCGGTCGTCGCTGACCTATCGGCTGCAGAGAGCACTGGGCCGGTCACGCCCCCCGCGGCCTCGGCGGCTGGATGTGGCCGTCGAGGTGGCAATGCCGAAAACCACACAGGCTGCAAGGCGCGGCCAAGGCGTTGTATGGACAGGGTGGGTGGGAGGCTGTGCGGACCGGGGCCACCCCACCCCGCCACACCCCGCCGCGCCCCGCCCCCACCCCCACGGGCCCTCTCTCCGCGGGCCCCTCGTGGCGCGGCGCGGCGGGCCCAGCCCGTGGGGCCCCGCCAGCCCTGCCAGCCCAGCCCAGGCAGTCGATCGGTAGCGTTGGCGGAGGCAGGAGTGCGCACAGCGGCTCAGGACACAGGACTGCGGCATGTCCCGACGGCCCTCCACCGGCGCGGCGCGGCGCTGCGGGGCGTGAGCGCTGAGTGGGCCGAGGAGGGCGAGAAGGTCGAGGCAGGCCACACACGGGGCGGCACGCCACTGCACGGCATCCGATGCGTCACCGGGGCGGTGCCGGCGGTGCTGTGTACTGAGTGGCATGCAGTGACATGAGGGTCGGCCCGGCATGTCGGGGTGGTGGAGCTGGCGGAGTCGGCCCCGGGAGCGGCTACGGCGCGTGGCCGGCCATCCGCGCCTGGCTGCTGTCCGCCCTCGTGGTGCACAGCGCCGTGGCCGGCAACCCGGACGCCAAGCGGCTGTACGACGACCTGCTCTCCAACTACAACAAGCTGGTCAGGCCCGTCGTCAACACCAGCGATGTGCTGCGCGTCTGCATCAAGCTCAAGCTGTCGCAGCTCATCGATGTGGTGAGTACACTGGACACGTGTCGTGGCTGGCTGGCGTGCTGGCGCGGACTCGGCGTCACGGCGCGAGTTCGAATATCGACGCCGCGCGCGCCCGCACTTTTTTCCGGGCGCGTTGCCCGCCGGCCGCCGCGGCCCGCCTAAGTGCTTTTTAGTGTTCCGCTCGTTTTTTAGGGGCCGTAGTTCTGAGCGTTCGCTGGCGCTGTCAGGGCAGCGGCACGCTGGGCGTCGCACGGCGTCGCTCGGCGTGGACGGACACGGGGAGCGCGACCTTGCTTCCAGCGGACCAGCGGGGACCAGCGGGCTGCTGGTGGGTCACCTTGTCAGAGGCGCCGCCAAGTTCATTGGTGACTTTGCGATCCGGGCCGGGCCGGGAGACTTTGGGCCGCGCGTGGGCGTGGCAGGGCGACCTTCAGGCGCTTCAGGCCCAGGCCCCTGAAGCGTGGCTGCGGACCCCCTACACCCGACTCGCCGCGTCGCCAGCGGCGCTTACTCCAGCAAATCCTGGCCAACGCGAACGAGTAGCAGTCGTGTCGGAGATAGTGGACGTGGGCGTGGGTCCGGCCGGGAAGACGCGTACTTTCCATCGGCACGGCAGTCACATCCCTGTTCTTACCCCCACCACCCCACCGCCCCGCCCCGCGTCCTATTTCCCTTCCGAGAGACCCAATCACGACGCGCGCCCTGTCGAAATAGCAATCATGCAAAGATTTGTCGTTAAAAAAGGAAGAAAAAAGATGCCAACGAAAAATTCCGGGCAATGAGGTGGTCCCGGCTGCACGACATGAAGGCTCTCGCTGTGAATGAATATATGAATTTTCATTCCGCGTAATTTTTATTTTCACCGTTTTTTTCTATTACTTTTTCGTTGGACACGTGTTACGCACTGCCAGGCCGTTGTCACTGCGCCGCTCAGCAGCGGGCGGCGGAAATTGCGTTAGCGCCGAATTTTCTCGCTAAAAAGCGACACATGGCAACAAATTATTCTAATAATGAGCCATCAATAACGCATTCCCTCATGCATGTATGGATGGCCCGTGTGTGCTGATGTATGAAGGTGGGTAGTGCGGGGCTGGGGGTGACAGGGGAAAAGGGGGGGGGGGGGAACCACACACCGCAATGCATATGAGGCGTCGAATCGGGGCGGAGGGCCCAGTGGTTTTGCGGAGGGATCGACTCATTTCCCTGTTATGCCCCACCTCCGAGCGGAAACGAGCTTTGACCAACCTCAGCCCCCTTTCCCCCGCCCCTTTCCCCTCTGACCGGTAATTGTCAGCGTCGACTGCTATTATTTCTTTTTCGCTTTCTTTTCCATTTATTTCGCCACCGCGGCTGTTTCTGGCCGAGGTTATGGCCGTTGATTTCCACGCGATAGTCCCTTACCCCGACATTGTTAATGTAGTTAAAGCACCGACTGAAAGTGCTTCTAAAATTGCTGCTAAAAGTGTTTGATGATACTTCATTCTCACATTTTGGAAAACCACATCCAAGTGTTTCTGGAAAAATATCACCGAAAAATGGTAGACCATTTTTTTGGGGGTAGTTTAGCTACCGCTTCTGCCTTCCCATCCGAATCCCCAACCACAACCCCCGTACAGTATCCGCTTTTTGGAAGCAGGCCCCAGTTTTTGGTCCCAGTTTCGGAACCAGGTCGCAGGTTTTGAAACCTCTCTTTCCGATGCAGCGAGTCACTGTCCGATCGCAAGAGGCATCGAGTGCAAGTCGACTCCTTCGATCGGTTTTCCAGTTTCTTCCTTTCCCGACTTTTCGCTTTGTTGTGCCGGGATGATTCGGCCGCCCCGCAGCTGCCGCAGCGGTGCCGAGTCAAAGCCGTGACCCGCTCGCCGCCTGAATTGTACATTTGCGGCAGCTTGTTTGATCGATCCAATATTCAGCGAGTCCGGCTAAAAGCATCGCGAAAAATTCATCGCCATGTGCGACGGCGTGGCCCGGTGGCCCGGCCCGGCCGGAGGGGCGGCGGTACCGAGCGGTCGAGGCGACGACAGCGGCGCCTGGGCCTCCGGCTCGGCCTCCGGCTCCGGCCCGCCTGCAGACTGATTCCGAGGGGTACGCCTCTCTGTCCCACTCACGGGGCGCCCCGCGGTGCGAGAGAGACAAAGCGACCTGCTGTGCCGCCTTGCCTTCCGGCAAAGAGGTCGCACTACTTTGATTATTCAACAATAGCCTCGCTCGCCTCGCTCGCACTCGCCGGGACGCCGGCCGGCGCCAGGGTCCGGCCGTGGCTGCACCCGTCCGGGGGCCCCTCAAGTATTTATACGATTTCTTGTTATGTGCGCGCCGACCCTCTCTGCGACGTCGCCAAGAGTTCGCCCACCCCACGGCGGCCACGGCAGCCACGGCAGGACAGTGCGGGGTCCTTGTGGGGCTCGCTGCCCGCGCGCCCGTCCCGGACCGGTTAGCAACAAGGACTGCTGCAGCGGGGCGGCGCCAAAAAGGAGCCCTGCCACCGTCACGCTGGCCGCCAAGCTGACCGAGAAGCTGCCCCGGCCCCGCCCTCTGCCGGGCAGGGCACTCAAGGACACGGCCATCATGAAGACCGACCCTCGCCGGCCGTGAGGGAAGCGCCTCGCACTTTTTGCATGTAATGGCTCGGGGGCCGGGAAGGGGGCGGGAAGGGGGCGGACGTGATTCTGGTCGGGGTGAACATTCAGTAGCCGGACCGGACCCCCCACCCCAGGCTCATCAGCGGCAGTCCCGTAACGGCAGTAATTTGGAGAGCGTCCACCGAGTGCGGCTGTCTGGACGTGCCTGGACGCCGCGGTGGACGCGCGGTCCGCGGTCGCGCAGGAGACAGGCAGCGAGGCCGCCGGCCCCTGGATTTTGAGAAATCGCCCTGGCGACGCCTTACAGTGTGCCAGAAGACCGATAGGCGGCCGAAAGTCTAGGCGCGAACCGACCGTGTTACCCCACCACTGGGATTCCTCGTTCGGAGAACAATTCATTGGTGGGGTCACACGTTCGGTCCGAGTCCCATTTAGCGACTGCGGGGCTCAAAACACGTCTAGAACTTTGGCCGCCTGCGCCGGTCTGCTGGCCCACTGTGCGCCTGTGGCTTCAATTTCATGGCGACTCTAACACGAAGCAGCACTCAGGTTTTTCCGATGGATGGACCCAGCAGGGGGAATAGGGGAGAAAAAAAAAGTATATATCGCACGGCAGCAGCACGCCGAGACGCCCGCCGCGCGCTCCTCGGACGTATCACTGACGGCGCGCCACGCCGCGCCACGCCACGCCACGCCACGCCGCGCCACGCCACGCCACGCCACGCCACGCCACGCCACGCCACGCCACGCCACGCCACGCCACGGCGGGGTTGATAAGAAAACGTCTTCGGCGGATCCGCGATCCGCGGGCGGGCGGGAGCCTTTGTGGGACGAGTGGTTGGCAGCCATGGGGGTACGGGGAGAAGAAAGAGAGAGGGAGAGAAAAAAGGGGGGGGGGCGTTATTGTGTGGCGTTGAGATAGAAGCGAACGAACACCGCCCGGTAGATTCCCAGAAGCGAATCCAAAGCATGCCGTCACACTCTCACAGACACCCACTCGCAAACACACGCTCACACACACACACACACACACACAAACAGGTCTGCTGCTTCACTTCTGCGCTATCGCGCAGGTCTAATGATTTTCCGGCGAAAAATCTCGAAAACAAAGAATAAAAGTGTGGGCGGGGAGCAGCGCCCATTACCACAAAATGCAGGTTGGCGGCTCTGCCCGCCCCGCCTCGCCCCGCCCCGGCACTGTCGTCGTCCGTCATCGCACCTCTAATTTGTACTGCGGCAATGAGCGATCGCCCCTCCGCGCCACCCCTCCTCCCCCTCCCCATCGTCAAACTCATAATTCCTGGGCGTCCTCGTCGCTCCGATTGCCCCGCTAATGTGCGAGAGAGAGAGGGGGGAGGGGAAGGGGGTTCATTTTTCAGTGCGGTCCACTTCCTGCGGCCATGAAAAATTCATCCGGGGCCAGCCTACGCTGCCTGCTGTGCGCCGGTTGGCAGCCCTGTCGCGGCGTGTCGTCTGCTTGTCTGTCTGTGAACACGCCCCCGGTCCCCGGCCGTCCCCGGCCGTGCTGCTGTCTGCTGCCCCGTGCCGCGTTGCCGCGAGGCGAGGCGTTCCCCCTGGAAATGGACCTGAAGCACCGTCATGGAACTGCGGGGCGGGGCGGGGCGTGGCGCGCCGTGCCGCGCCCCTTGGGTGCAGCCTTGCGCCTTGTCTGCACTCTTTTGTCGTCCTACCCCTCCCCCCCCCCTTTCCCACCTCCCTCCGCACCGCCGCCTCTTTCTTTTCGTGGCGTTATATGTCATTCCTTGGGAATCGCGCGACTCGAGGAGCGCTGCCTTGATTACCCGCCTCCTGCATCCCTGCTCGACCCGCCTGCTTGCCGCCGGCGCGCCGCCCGCCACTCCGCGCCCGACCTCGTTCCCCGCTCTTTGTTCCTCGTTCTTTGATTCTTTTTCCTCGTCCCTGACCTCGTTCCCCCCGCTCTTTGTTCCTCGTTCCCCGCTCTTTGTTCCTCGTTCTTTGATTCTTTGTTCCCGTCCCTGACCTCGTTCCCCGCCCCGCTCTTTGTTCCTCGTTCCCCGCTCTTTGTTCCTCGTTCTTTGATTCTTTGTTCCTCGTCCCTGACCTCGTTCCCCGCCCCGCTCTTTGTTCCTCGTTCTCCGTTCTTTGTTCTTCGTTCTCCCGATTCTTTGTTCCTCGTTCCCCCGCGCTTGGTATGCAACTGCTTCCGCCGCTCTCCTGCTTCTCTCTAATCCTCGCGGCGCCCCTGGAGGCGCCCTGGGCGCCCTGGAGGTGCGCTGGAGGGGCGCTGCGGGGCCGCCACTGCTTATTTCGCCACGATGAAGAATAACGACTCGGGGGTTGCACGTTGCACGACGTTGCACGCGCGCCGCGGAGTTTATTTGTTTCCCGGTCCGTCCTTCCGTTTGACTCACCGAGTCGCCGCCCTGGCGTGGCCCTGGCGTGGCCCTGGCCGGGGCG